ATAAACTAACTAACTACTACTACTACTACTACTACTATATATATATATATATATATATATATATATATATATATATATATATATATATATATATATATGTATGTGTGTGTGTGTGTGTGTGTGTGTGTGTGTTATGAAAACGATTATCCAATGTTCGATACGAGTGGCTTGGAACTGTTGGCTGAAAAACTGGGGAAGTCTATGGAAGAACTAACAGAGTTAGTGGCGGGCAATAGGAGGGTGGCGTACAATGACAAGAAACCAAAGTTTGTGAAGGATCGGTGAAGCTTCAGATCAAAGAAGGAGGGGCGCCTTTGATACAAGTATATGCGGAGAAAGATGTGCGACTTATAGAAGTGATGAAGAAGAAGGTGCAACTATTGCTTGAAGCTGGATTGATTGGCTTACAGTGCCGAAACTTGTGCCTAAAGTGCCGGGTAGTAATCCCATTTATGAGGAACCCTAGAGTTGGAGGATGTGCATAAATTATATGCGTACGAATTATCAACTAAATTCGGGTACATATCCGATACTAACAGGAGATGTATTTCTGGCAACAGTTAAGGGGCGCAAGTGGAGAACCAATGTAGATGCTGGAAATGGTTTCGGGCAGTTAATGATAGAGCCTGGTAGTCGAGGGGTTACTGCATTTTTGACGCCCTGAGGAGAGAGATTTAATTTATTGGGATGCCGTTTGGTTTGAAGGAAGCATCATTTGTGTTTCAATAACTAATGGACGAGACATTGGATGGAACTAAAGGAATTAAGACGTACATTGAGGATACCGCGTTAGGCTCAGATGATCCAGCTGAGCATTGGGATGATATTGTGGAGATGATCAGCCGCTTTCAGGCGAAAGGGATACAGTTGCGGCTGTTAAAATGTAATTTCGCGTATCGAGAAGATCCTATAGCCGTGATGGCTAGAGAGGTTACAGATAAGGGTTCGATGATAAGTGGAGTTAAGCTTCAGGCGTTATTAGATATGCCCAGGCCCAAAACCAAGGCCGAAGTCAGGTCGTAGTATCAATGTTTTGGATAGTGAGCGAGATACGTTCCAAATTTCTCAAATGTGTTGGCTCCGATTAGTGATTTGACTGAGAAGAAGGTACAGTTCCAGTGGGGTCCTGAGCAGGAGAAGGCTTTTGAGTCGGCTCGGAAGATTTTGCAAGCGAAGACAGTCTTGGTAGAACCTAGACATCAGGAGCAACTTAGGTTGCAGACAGATGCGTTTGCTTATGTGTGAGAAGAGATGGATAATGGCTTCCTGTGGGCTTTGTGAGTTCCAAGATAGATTTCCATGCTAATTTGTCTCCGACAGATAGAGAATTGATAGCGCTAGCATATGGGTTTTTGAAGTTTGCGGGTTCGATTAGGAAATCGTACGAGGTGCTTATAGTAGAGATGGATCATCAGCCTTTAATTGGTGTGGTTCAGCAGGTAGAGTTCACGTCGGATCCAGTGGGTAAGAGACGGTACATGAATGTTATGTATGCACGATCGTTTGATATGGACCTACGGTACCTGGAATGGCTAAAGAAAAAAAGTTGCGGATGGACTTAGTCTTATGCCGTGGTGGTTTCCTATTATGGTGCCTGTGTCGGTAGAGGGTGATAAGTTTGCTGCATGTGCAAAATTGGGTCTGCCAGAGATTGTTGAAGGTGTGGATTTGTCATTTGATAAAGTCTGCAAGAGTGTGGAAGACAGGAGGGTCCGGCTGGCGGTGGTTAAAGAGAAGCTGCGAGTGTTAGAGGAGAGTCTTGATGACAAGGTCAGTGCTGACTTCAAGGTTCGTGTGGGTTTATTGCATCAGCAGGTTACTGCAGTGATGGAGAAAGGTATTACTAAGATATGGGATCCGGATGTAATGACTAGCGAACAGCTTCAGTGTATTGGTCTAAGTGTATGGTCAGAACTTGTTCAGCCTTTGCAAGAGTACGTTATTTAGATAAAATATGAGAGTTCCTGAAGGTTAAGTATGGAGAGGAAGTGTTGCGTTCTCAGGTTGTGAAGGGTTTAAAGAGTTGTGTTGCGTGTCAACAAGTTGAGGGGCTTCGTGGGACTACAGGGTTGTTAATGCAGCCTGAGAGGCGGAAAGGGGTTGCACTGTGTATAGGCATGGATTATTTTACCTTTCCAAGGACAGTTCACGATTTCGAAGGTATAGTAGTGGCCATAGATCATTTTTCGAGGATGGTGTGGTGTCGGCCATACACGTTGGAAGAAAAGAATAATTGAGGGGTATTAGAGTTTGTTCAACAACAAGTGTTGCCTTGGGGTACACCTAAGAAGGTAGTGATGGATGAGGGTGGTCCGTTCGCTTCAGCAGATATGAAAAGTTTCTGGGCAGAGAGAGGTGCAGAATGCCATTACGTATCAGTAAATAGGCATCATGGCAATGGTAGGGCAGAGAAGGTCTTGCGTACGATTGTGGATTGGCTTGCTAAGAGCTTGCAGGTTGGGGAGGAAACCTTATGGCCAGCATATATATATATTCAGTTATGTTGGCGTACAATGCGACAGTGAATTCGGCCACGGGTAATTATACGGGGCAGGTTGATAGAGTAATTCAGGCGAAGTTGTTAGAGGGGATAGGTTCTGAGCTTCTGAGTGAAGCTGCTGTGCGGGATAGATCAGTGGCCATTGGAGATGAAGTAGCGAAGGGGGTGCAGGCAAAGGCGGCAGACAAGAATAGAAAAGAGGCACCAGATTGGCAGCCGGGGAAGCTGGTTTGGTATACTGGTAGGTCGAAGGATAGTAAGTTGGCGAAAACTTATTTAGTGAGAGGCACGATTGTTATGAGGGAACACGTACAAGGAATGTACAAGGTCGGAATTAATGGGAAGGTTGAGTCAATACATGTGGATCATCTTAAGGTGAGGTTAGAGGATCCGGAGCATGAGGCCAGTACTAGAATGCGTAGGAGGGAAGCTTGTTTGATCTTGTTCTACAATTATATTGGTGAAGGGGCAGCTAGTGTTACAGAACTTGATGAAATGGTAGCAGTAATGCTATCAACAAAGAAGGGGAGGACTTGGCTATATGCCATGAATTCAGCCTTTGGTATATATGTTGATACGATAGTCGATGCGGCAAAGCGAGGTGAGAGTAAGGGCGTGGTAGAAGATACTTTGGATTTGGCTATGAAGCATCACTTCAACAAGAACAGGTGGAACTGTAAAAAGCCGGGCCTCCACATTAGACTCTATGTTATAAACGTACTCTTAAGCAGTACGTAAATTATAAACGTACTCTTAATAGTACGAGGAACTTAAGTTTCCTAAATGTACTCTTAATAGTACGAGGAACTTAAGTTTCCTAAATGTACTCTTAATAGCACGAGGTAAAATGGGTTTTAATGGTTTTATTAATTAATACCTTTTCCATTTTACATATCAGATATTTGGATGAGGCCTTCTTGATAAGTGGCATGTTATTGGTTAAGACAATATCTAAGGACATCAAGAGTATTTATTTATTTATTTACTAAAGATAGGATTTTATGAGTCTCTCGGATTCGCACCAATGAAACATACCATAGTTTCGAATAGAGCGACAACGAAACACTAAATAAAATCCCTTCGGCGGAAACAG